AAAGGAATTGTGTCCTTAACAGTGGTGACAAAAATAAGATGATGTGATGATAATGCTAGCCACCGCTTATCATCGACTTGTACAGAGCCCAACACTAAAAGTTTTTCTGCATTTTTTAGACTATTCAAAAAATTAGGTGGAAGTTAGTATTCCATTTTACAGATTAGGACATTGAGGCCCACATATGTTACGTGAATAGAACTTACACCCAGCTGCATAACTTGTATGATTAGGCCTATGTGACTATCAAGCTATGTGTTAAGCTCTAATAAATGATGTAGCAGCAGCTCCTGTGCATAGCCTGAATGATCATTTTAAGGAGGGAGAGCATATTATTTGAGAGAGATCAGAATCTTTCTCAGTTTTCCAGTAATTCTCAAAAGGAAGTAGAAGATTTAGCCTAGCTCTTGCATGTTCACCAAACTAAGTCAAAGAATTGCTTATCATATTTATCTATGGAGAGTTCCCAAGCTGGCCTAAGAGGTCTGGCTCAGTGGATATGAGATCTAAAGATTTTTCTTCTTCTCACGTTCATGTAAAAGACTCAAACTCAATATGTTTTGAATATTCCCAATGAGCCTGAAACTTACTAGAAAACACAATCTCCATGTACCGTACAATTAAATGGTGATTGGGACTGATTTATAGGTTAACAAGCTACAAACATAAGTGGGAGGCAATTCTTTCCTAAGTAATGTTTGGTGGATAACATGATCAATCTAGCTGCTAAATGTATATCATGAGATTGACTGTCCCCAAATAGCTTTATGTTCCACTAGATGGACTTTAAGATGGTGTTTCATTTTAGTAAGATGCTAGCAGTGCCTATTATATTCTCCCCCTTGGAGTTAAATTTGACACATCATGCATGCTCAACAAATATTTTGTGTTTATTCTCATCACAATAAAGCCTGCATGGTCAGTTCAATCATTTTACAGTAAAGATCCAGATCAAATTCACCAGAAGGGGGTTCTCGACTTTCTCTCTCATTCTTCGTATGCCTGTCTCAGAGCACTTACCATGTTATACCTGCTATTAGATCACCCGGTCTCAGCTGGAACTGATTTTACCTCCAAGGGGACCTTTGGAGAGACATTTTTGACTGTCGCAATGGGACAGAGGCTACTACTCATATCTAGTAGATAGAGGCCAAGCATGCTACTAAATATGTTATAATGTGCAGAATAGCTGCCTGCAGACTTACTCAGCACTAAATGAGTGCTGAGGTTGAGACACAGAAAGGGCATAAAGAACTTACAGCCACAAGTGTTTTCTTTGGCTCTGGCCCCAACCTTTATGAGCTGTGAGATCTTGGGTAAGTTTTCACTTGAGTGTCATCAGTAAAGAACAGATACTTGTTTTGCAGATGCTTCCTCAAAGAATTATTTTCAGGATCAAAGCCCTAGCGCATGAGAAATTATCTGCAAAATTGATACAATCATCATTATATAAACTGTGTTGGGTACATAGTGATAAATATAATAATAACTTTATAAGTACTTTGAATACATAGTCCTAAGGGATGAAATGTGGTCTGGATTTCAAAGCTGAAGCTTAAACTTATTCATTTTTGTTTCTACAAGGATTTATTGAGCAGTATGTATGAACTAGCAGTTTTTCACACTCTTGTAGGTACTACAGCTATAAAAAATAGGGTGTTATCACATTACAGCACTCTTTTTGTAGGATGGAGATAAAGTCATAATCAAATAGTTATAACAGCATGTAAAATCAGCTAAGAAAGCGAGGGATAGGTGAATAAAGCTTTTTTAGAAGTAAGCCAATTTAAGACATATAAAAAAAGCTTATGAGCTGTGTTATAACTGACAACAAAAACTATTTCTTTTACAACCTTACTTTAGTGATCCCCAAGGGGGGGAAAATGTACATTCTGATTACTTCGATTATCCACTTCACAAAATAGATGAAAGTCAATAAGAAAACTGAGATTTCTTTGTAACAATGAATGTGTTAAATCTGACCATATAGGAAGTCATCAAAATAAAGATGACACCCTAATTTTTAATCCTGAAATGAAACCAGTAGCCAGCACACAAAATATCTGCATGTGTGTAAACTGCTTGTCACTCAAACTGAGGTATAAAATGCTTTCCAAATTAAATGAAAGTTCTCTAGGACACTCCAGGCAGCTAGATAATATTGTCATATATTTTGCTGATGGGAAATAAATGTCTACTCGGTTAGTTTCTGATAAATGGGACTGGATTGATTTGACATAGTAATGCAAGAAGTGGGCATTGTCTCTTTCCCTTATACTCACCAAGTCAGTGTATGATTGGTTCGAAGGGACAGTTCCAAATGTCCAGGGACATTTCATAGAAAACAGTGAGTGGACTTAACCTTGCCTACACTTCCTAGATACTCACATCAGGACCATCGAGCAGTTGTCTCATTTCTAACATATTCCTGCACAGTCCTTTATTGTATTTCCGATGTAGAATGTACTCAGGATTGCTTAAGGTAATGGTTCTCCACTATTTTAGTCCAAAGGATGTTTCAGTGGTTCAGAAAAATCAATGGCCTTAACAATGAGCATTTATGTCAACAAGCCTCACTTCCTTAGTAAGAGAAATCTCAGCTTTCTCGTATAATTCCAATGAAGGACAGTTTATATGTTATTATTCTACATCATGAACACAAAATGTGAAGCTATCTGAAAGCACCTGTGACCTCTCATCATCATTATTGGAGCTCTTTGTGTACTCAATGTCCTCAATTTAGAAGAGTTATGCGATGGCTATCATTGGGACAACCGTACACATCAGGCAGCCATTCTTCTACCAACAGTTCAAAAAATCTGCTAGAATCACTGGAACAACTACCAGAGTTAGTGAACCCTTATATTGTGCTTCCTGGTATCTGCCTGTTAGTCAAATCCATGCATCTCAATTCATTGTGCTTCCTTCAAAATTGCTACCCAGTTATTCCTGAGATCGGAAGACTTTACTCTGCACTATCACATACATAGCCCCTACTACCAGCATTCTTTTTGGCCTTAAGGAAGACACTTATGTTCAGATTTAGAAAGGAACCAAGCATGGATGTCTACAAGGAAATACAAAACATGGTACTAGGTGCTTTATACACATTTATATTAGTCCTAAGAAGTCTCTAGCTATATTGTACAAATAAAGAAACTTAACATCTAAGGTTGAATACATTTCCCTATCCAATATAGGTGGCAGGATTTGAATACATGTACAATATTACCAGCTTATTTTTCCACCATGACATATTCTAGAGTAAAGTGATAAATGTTCTTCATACAGAGTTAAATTAACTCTCTGTATATACAGAAATCAGTGACCACTCAAAGGCCATATTCTGAATCCCCAAAGTGAGTGGAATTTTTTCAAAACTTGCTCAAAATTTGAGGTTGAGTTCTATATAGCTTGCTACCCCTGGAATTTCTGCCTAATAGCTTGGCAGCATGTAATTGTGCCCAGATAAACTCAGAGCAAAATATTCAAACAAGATTATAAACCAATAGGAAACAGCTAGGAAAGACTACGGGTAGAAACATTCCTCAGGGGAGTGCACCTGCTCCGGTTTTGAGTATTATGGACTGTCTTCACATTGAAAAGGCAGATAAAAGCAAAACTACAAGGAAATGGAAATGTGACCTATTTCTTACAAAGCATCTTCCGTAAAGTTAATCAAACTTTTAAGGTAATATTATCTCTCCACTAAACCATAAGCTCCATGAAAAAGAGCAACGATGCATGTTTTTCCCACTACTGTGTCCTCACAGGGCCCCAGCACTATACCCGTTGTACAATTGTAGTGAGTGCAGACCTTCACCTTGTAGTCCTTTTGTACAGGTGGTGAAGAATTTCGATAGGAAGCATAGTCAAAGAAACAGGGCAGGTAGGTTAAGGGAGAAGACTCAGAGAGGAGGGATTCATTTTTTTCACATTCTTTAAGGCTGGTTCTCCTAAAGAAAGAAACTAGTTAATAGGTGGATTAAACTAACTGATGGAAACTCTAGGGAGACACATACTAGACCAATGTAAAATACAACTTCCTAATAGCCAGGAGTGAAATCGATGGTGAGTTCCCAGCCACTGTAGGTGTTAAAAAGGACTTGCTCACTCACACAGTCAAGGAAAAAGTGGGTGAACTTGAAGAGAGGTCAGTAGAAATGCCTCATGCTGAAAGTCAAAGACAAAAAACAATGAAATGCAAAGCAGAGTGTCGAAAACTGTGGAACTTGCAAGATACTTAATTTGAATAACAAAAGAAGAAGAAAGAGACAACTGAGCAGAAGAAATTTTTGAAGTGAAAATAGCTAAGAATGTTCCAAAATTAAAACAGACACCAAACCACATATTTAAGAAGTTCGGAACGTACGTCAGAAAACCACACCTAGACATAACATATTTAAACTGTGGAAAATCAAAAACAGAAAAATTTGAAAGAAACCAAGATGAGAGGAGAGATTTACCTATTAAGAAACAAGGATGAGAATTATAGAATATCTCACCAGATGCCACATATGCAAGAAGAAAATGTGGTGAACTATTTCAAATGTTGAATGAAAAAGATCCCACCAAAGTAGAAATCTACTTTGAAATTCTACAGGGAAATTGTCTTTAAGTAGTAAAGGAGAACAAAAACATTCTGAGAAAACAATACCTGGGAGATTCATTGCCAGCAGAATTGTCCTGTAAGACATGTTAAAGTAATTTTTAGGGAGGAGGGAAGATAATATAGGTGATAAACTTAGACCTGAGGGGAAAAGGCAATGGTGGAAGAATAAATAAAAGTAAAACAAAATGTCACTTTCTTTTTTTTTTTTTTTTTGGTTTTTCTCCGGTACCGGGAACCGAACTCACGACCTTGCGCTTGCCAGGCAGGCGCTTTTGCCGCTGAGCTAAATCCCCAGCCCCGTCACTTTCTTTTAAATGGATCTAAAAAGTAACTATGTTTAAAGTAAGACTAACAACGGACTGGGTGATTGTAGCATACAGGTATGTGAATGACAGTAGTATTACAAAGGATGGGAGGGGAAATCTGAAAATATCCCCTTATAGGAAATGCATATTACAGTGAGATGGCATAGTGATATTAAAGGTTGGTTTATGTTAGTTTAAAATCTAAACTGTAACATTTAAGGCAGCCACTAAATTTTTAAAAAATGAATATAATTGGTTCACCAAGAGAGAAGATAGTGTCATATAAAATTGTCAATAAAACCGGAGAAAGGTGAAAAGGAGAGAGAAAAAGCAAAAAACAATAATTGTGGCAATGGAAAAACAGTTACAAAAGTAGTAGATGTGAGTCTAATGATATCAATAGTCACTTTAAATATGAAGGTCTAAATATACTGATTAAAAGTCAGAAATACACAGAGTGGATTAAAAACAAACCTCGATTATATGTTGTCTACAAAAAATCCACTTTAAATATAGATTTAAACAGATTAAGAATGAAGTGATGGAAAAAGATATACCATTCTACCCCTCATCAAAAGAAGACTGGGTTACCTTTATTATTTCCCATCAAAGTGACTTCAGAACAAGGAAGTTTACCAGAAATAGGGATGTACGTTACATAATGATAAAGAGATCAATTCTCCAAGAAGCTATACCAATTCTAAATGTGAATGCATCTAACATAACAGCATCAAAATATGAGAAGTGAAATGTACCATACTAAGTATGATGTTATGAATTTGGAAAGTAAGAACGGTGAACTCTGCAATTTTTATATAAATCTGAAACTATTTAAAAAATTAAAAGTTTATTTCTTTGGTGGGTAGACCAAATTTATTTAGTATATCCACCCCAACTCTGAAATTCAGTGATTCTAAATATTTGTCTAGCAGAGCAACAAATAACAGGATTACAGTCACTAAAAATATACATGTGCTGGGGGTATATATTTCCAGTATCTCTCATTATATGTATATTTTACATATGTAATGCCTATTATATATTTTCTATTTTAATAAGCATATGATTGTATGTTTATCTATGTATAATCATAATATTGCTCTATAAGGATGTTTAACACAATATTAAGAGTGGTTATGTGTGGTTGATATGGACAATTTCTAATCTCTTTCCTTTATTTGACTATATTTTCAAAATAATGTACCAAGCACCAGGCATGGTGGTGCATGCCTGTAATCCCAGCATTTGGGAGGCTGAGGCAGGAAGTTCACAGTGAGTTCAGAGCCAGCATGGGCTATGTAGTGAGTTCAAGCCCAGCCTGAACTACACAGTGAAACCCTGTTTCAAAAAAATAAAGAACACACAAATGATTACTTTTGTAAAATAAAAAAAGTCAGTAAAATTTTTATCTTTAAAATCAATGAGTATTCTCAATGAGTAATGCCTGTCTAAGCTAAGTGTGCGTCCTCCAGTAAAACAACACTGAACTCTGTTATATGTAAGCAACTGTTTCATACGTTTATGAAATTTATATATTCTCTCCTCAGGTTATAATCTTGGGGACAAAAATAAACTCTCACTTCATTGTCACCCCTGCTATCTCCTATAGAGCCCAGCACACTGTGTGGACATTTCAGGCACAGAAAGAGTATGTTGGTCAGCTTGTCACTGCTGTGACAGAAGACCTGACATATACAATTTATAGGAAGGAGGATTAATTTGGCTTATGTTTTCAGAGGTTTCAGTCCATGGTCTCTTGGCACCATTGCTGTGGGCTGATGATGAGGCAGCACATTGTGGCAGGTGGGGTTTGGTAGAGAAAGTTGCTCACTTCATGGCACCGAGAAGCAGACAGAAAGTGAGGGAGCCTTGCTCCGTTTGTTTTGGCTCCGTCCAGGTCCTCAGCGTACTGAATCTTTCTGCCCACATTCAGGATAGTTCTCCTCCTGCCATTTGCTGTCCCACATGCTAATCACCTCTGGAAACACCCTCTTAGCTAAGCAGAAGTGTGCTTTATGAATCTCCTAGGTATTTCTCAGTGCAATCAAGTTGATAATCAATCATTACACAGAGTACATCACAGTGTGAAATTCTGGACAAGTAACTGCCTTGATTTTCGCTACATTAAATGGGAAATCTGGGCTGCTGTAATCTGGATTTCCTTCCGGATCTAAGATTTGAGATTCTCTGCCTGTCTCAAAGAATTAGGCAAAATTTCAGAAAACAGCAACCTCAGGGAGACTATGTGCCTTGTCCAACTTCTTTTGCATCTCCTGGACAGTGATGGAAGATTGAGATTCAGAAAATGTCTGCTCTGTGGGAATTGGTTCAGAAAGCCTTTCTGGTAGGTTTTAAATAATTTATGATTTGCAGTAAAATTTCTTCTTGCAAACTCACAAAGGCCAAACAACTGAGAGTGGTGAAAATATGCAAGGGTTGAATACAAGGATAATTATTTCATATGACCTTGGTTAAATTGTTTTATAATTTTTCTATAATGTGCAAAAAATATCTTCTATGAGCATATTGTTGCATGTATGTCTTTCTAATTATGCTGCTTCTTCTGTGGCCCTGAAATTAAGGAAGAATGATGGTGGAGAAGCCCAATCATGACCCACACACCTCAGAGCTCATCTTAAAAGTCCTTTCCCTCATCACCAACCATGCCAGCTCTCCACTCAGCAACATTCCCCAGCCAGCCTATTCCTGTCCCACAGGGACGCTGATTGCTTGAAAAGTCAAGTTCACCTGGAAGAGTCAATTACACTTTGTATTCATTTCCTGTTGCTGCTGTAACGAATTATTTAGTAGCTTAAGACAATGCCAATAAATTATCTAGTAATTCTGGAGGTCAGAACAAACTGGTCCCTCTGAGCCAAAATCCAGGTGTCGGGAGGACTGCATTCCTTTCTAGAGGCTCAAGGGGAGATTATTCCCTTCTATTTCCAGTTCCTAGAGGCTGTGCACAGTCCTTGGCTCATGGCCCCTTCAGCTTCAAAGTCAGCAGGGTAGCATCCTCAAATCTCTCTCTGACCCTAACCATCTGCTACTTTCATCACATCTCCTTCCCTGATTCTGACTTCCCTATCTCCCTCCTATGAGGATCCTTTTGATTACAATCAGCCACCCAGAAAATCTTGCTCTCATCTGAAGATCCTTTGTTTAATCACATCTACAAAGTCCCTTTTGTCATGTAAAATAATGTATCACACACACACACACACACCTTCCTCCCTTTTTTAGCAGTGTAGATATGCCTAGTTTTATAGCCACCACTAAATAAGGCACCTTTGGTACCGGCACATCTTGCCCTAGAAAAGTCACTATTTTCCCATTCTAAAAATACTCCTCTTTTGGACAGTGTAAATGGACACATGAGATTTGGATTACAGCTGCCTGAGCATGCAATGATTTTATATTCAGACAGAAAAAATTTTTTAGGATGTAAGCTTTGGTGGGACAGACTTAGATTTAATTTTGAGATCCATCATCTAATATCCGGATCACTCAGAGTAAACTGCTTTTTATCTTGAGCTGTGCCACCTCTAACTCAAGCACATTTTCTACTACCCCTATATGATAGCCTACCTTCCCCGAGATTTCTCTATGAGAGATTTGAGGGTGAATGTCTGGGGCATTTTAAATTATACAGTAAGACTCAAAATTGAGCTTCATAAATTTAATAGAAGTAAGTAAGTAGAAAACAAATAACAGCATGTCATTTCAGTGGGTTTTATTCATGAATATTTATCTAGATAGTTTTCAAAGGCATGTGTATGTTCATATGTATTATAATGCTCTTCTGTAAAGATATTTTCATTCCTTATTTTTCAGAACCAATAATACCAGAACCCCCACATGCCTTTGAAAAATTTTCTAAATGGCTAATAAGATACCCAGGTGATAAAATACTATGCAGATTATAAAATATGATGTTTACAAAGAAAATTTTATTATTAACCCGCCAGCCCGTCCTTCTTTTTACCCAACCTGGTGTCTCTGTGATTCTTTGAAAGTTAGCCAAGTTTTTGTATGTTGCCCATGGTTCCCAAATGTACTCTTCCTTCTTCCTTTAGTACTATATTTAATTTGTAAAAGGTTAATGCTTAATTAAGAAGCTAGTATATTAATAGCAGAAAGTCTATTAAGAATGATTCAAAATGCATAGCCTCCTTCTTAACACAATACCTCCACCAACTCATAACATAAATAAGGTCATATCTTGATCATATTTTGGTCATCTGGTCTCTCATTTCTTTGTTCTCATTCACACATTCACATTCCCTCCTTCCAGTATTCTTTGTCCAAATAAGAAATATGTCAGGTTGACTCATTGCAAGCATTTAAAACAATAAAATGTATGAATAAAATGGAGTGAGAAATTTATATCTCCACCTTCTCAACCTTCTAAAATAATCTTTACAAGTTGTTGCCAAGTATTGATTTCCCATTTGTGAACCCATGCTGGACATCATGCTATGTCCAAGCACATATACTTGACTGATTTTAACGGGCACATGTCTACCTATTGTGTGGATATATCACAATTTGGTTTCTCTTGGTCCCCTCTTCCTGATGAAGAAAGTGTAGTGTTTCTTACATTGCATTTGTAACCTCAAGTATTTTTTGTGAGAAGTGATTACAAAGACTAAAAAAATATCTCCACAACAATTCCTCTAAAAAATATCCTTTCCCTAAATTTCATTGCTTCCTGAGCTCTTGACTTGGAGGAGTTAGGGGAATGTCCTGAAAAGTTACTATTTAGCTGCAGGTTATCAAACAAGTATAAATAATTACCAAATCACCCCTTCCCTTTTGCTTTACCTTTCCTTTGTGATGATTGAAAAACTCCAATATCTTACGTTCAAATTAGAAGTGAGAGGAAGCCCTGACTGAGTTTTTTAAAAGTACCTGCTAAAAATACAACTGCTTTTTTTACATGGGAGGATATACATATACCAATTTACATATATATCTGTATGTAAATATAGATACAAATGTGTTCCATTGCTTGTTGGGATCATTCATTTTCATTAATACTCAGCACACATTTCATTAATTAACAATTTACAGTATATCTATTAAACATTAGGTACCAATATACCATTCTGATTTGTAGCATTCTGAAATTTGTCCTAGAGTACTTTTCTTACACAAAAATATTACCATCTGTAAATTAGAAATGGCACAACACCATACTTATAAGTAATTCTTACTGTTTGGTCTCCATCTCTCTCTCCTGGTATCTATCTCCCCTGGTGTCTCTCTCTTAGTTTCTCTCTCCTGGTCTCTGTCTTGGTCTGTCTCTGTCTCTGTCTCTGTCTTGGTCTCCTCTCCCTCCCTCTTTCCCTGGAAAAGGCCAGTATTCATGGCCATATCATTTAATTAACATCTAAGATTAGTGTTTTTCTCCTCTGTACCCATCCAGGAAGTGGCCAAGACTTAATGTTCTTTCTTAAATCTCTGTGCCAGGGAACTCATCAACACTTTCATCACCAAAAAAAGCACTTTATGTCATTCTGTTTCTAGTAACTTCACTCTAATCAATTTTACCTATATTCAAGTGAGCCTGTTGGTGAAGATATAGTCCAAATATTCCCACCAGTAGAAAGAGTTGCAGAAAAGAAGACAGTCTGTATCTCTTTCCAGTGACCAGGAGAGACATTTAGGTTGCTACAGCACATACAAAAAAAAGCTTTTGGCAAGCAGTTACCTTTGCAGTTGGAGTAGAGTTTCAGGAACAGACAAGGCTCATCCTCTAAAGAAGCAGGTCATCACGGCCCCCTCCACAGCCCTCTGCCTGCCACAGAAGACCCCACTCCTGAACTGTAGGTCCTGTGTCTGGACTGTTCCTGAAGGAAACAGTGCGGTATTTGACTACTCTTGCATAACATTTTCATAATCCACCCCTTTTGTTCTAAGGAAAAACCAGTTTTTCTGATCTAAAGGAAACACTCAAAACAGGGGATTGAGACAGTACAGCTCCTGAGACAGATGAATCAGACTGTCTGATTGAGATGCCCAATATCCATGCACCCTGATGATTTGGGGGAAAGGGGACATGAAGGTGAATAAATCACTTTCCTAAACCCAAGGAGCTTGTAGACTTTTGGGGTCCACAAATGCAAAACAACTGGGAGTGCCTGTGGGGAAAGGTTGAGGCCACAAAGGGAAACAATGGAGTAGCCATAGGGATTGGGAGAATGCTTCACTATGGTATAATGCCTGTGATGAGTTTTGAAGCCTGAGTCAGAGGTTTTCTGATGAATGAGAGTTGAACTATAGTTGGGGCTATGAGAAGATGCTGAAGGCAGAGACAGTACCATATGCAAAGCTACGAAATTACTGAACAGGACTAATGGTGCATTTGGTGGTCATCATTAAAAAGTGAATAATAACAAATGCTAACAAAAGTTCCTGCAGGGAAAACAGGAACTTTTCTACACTGTTGGTGGGAGTGTAAGCTAGTATAATCACCATGGAAATCAGTATGGAGAGTCCTCAAAAAGTAAAAGTTCCATTTGAGCCAAGTGTTCCCCTTCTGGTTATCTTCCTAAAAGAGTTAAAGACATCATATTAGAGATATCAGTGATATGTGAATACCCATATTTATAACAGTGTGATTCATCATCACTAAATCTTGGAAGCTCCCTGTATGTCCATCAGCAAATGAAAAGATAGAGGAAATTTGGTGCTTACACACAATGGAGTACTACTCCACCATAAGGAAGAACAACCTCGGGTCATTTGTAGGAAAATGGATGCACTCTTAGACCATAATGTTAAGTGAAATAAATCAGACACACAAACTTAAATATCACATGTTTCTCTTATATGAGAAACGCAAATTATAATGAAAGATCAAAGTAAAAGATAAGAAAAAAAAACAAAGTAAAGGATAGATAACAGGAAGTAGGGAGATAAGACATTTCTCAAATGAAAAGGGGATCAAGGGATGGCTGGAGTAGGGAAGGGTATGGAGATGAAAACAGAAATTCAGAATTGTTGTGTACTGGTACCAACTCCACACAAGAAATGTAAACATTGCATATGCAAAATTTTTTTAAAATTTTAGAAAGAGTCTATATGGCTGAAACAAAGTTTGTGAAAACAAAGAGGAAAGATGAGGTAGAGAAGTAGGCAGTGATGTCTGGCAGACTGACTTAGGACAGACACAGTAATAACTATGAATCTGGGTACCATAATGACTATATTTTAGTGTGTGAACATATCATGCTATTTGTAACTGTAAGTAAGAAACACTGAAGAAAATCAGTTTTTATATATTTTGTTACTCAATATGTTCAGAAAATGGGAGATCTGCTTCATTAAATGACCTAGCTTGGTGAGGTCACTGATTAGTAACTGCCAAATAACTCAAATAATTAAAGGACATTAAATATTAAGGCTGCCATTAGTATACATGAAAGTTCATTTGACAATTAAGAAGGATCTTCAAGATGTTAGAGTGTCTCAGACCTGCCAACAGCATGAATATCATTTTGGGTAAGGACCAAGGTGATTACTAACAAGATCTGCTGAGGAGGAGGTGAGCTTAGTGCTCTCCTATTTAAAAACTCACATGCATTGTAGAGGCTTTTACACCTTCATGTGCTGGGAAGCCTCCTGACAGATTGAATTTGGGCCAGTGTAATAAATGAAGCGCTGTGCTAATAATGTTAATACAAACAAATAATCTGAATAAACCACATTTCCCCACGTGATCTAGCAAACATATGGTCTTGTGGTTGAAACTTGGCAAGTTAATTGTCATAAGAACCCTGAAAGGAAAGTGGAATGAATTGGTAATTTTATCTCTAGGTCAGACCTCTGTCCTTGATATTTCCCTGTTCCAACAGAAGGGGCAAACCCTTGAAAGATCAAGTACACACTATTTTTAACATTTCTCCTCCAGTGAAATTGCATCAGTGATTATAATTGGGTCTATTAATATTGGCTTTACAGCTTTATCAAATGCTTTCACACGCATTATCTTTCTTGTTTCTAAAGTGCTGTTGGATAACTTGGGCACAAATGACAGTTATTCTGTTTTGTTTCTCATAAGCACCATGTAACAAACCAGGGCTTGGAAAAGTGATTTGCTTTGCCTAAGGTCACAGAACCTCAAGTAAAAATCATGCTTCAGTTTCCAAGTCTCAGTAACCTTTCACAAAGTTCTAGTGCCTTAAACACAATTGGGTTGTCCACAGTACACTGTGTAGCTAGATGGTTTCCATAAACTGATCAGCATTCAGAGCACCCAAATGATGTTCAAATGGTTCCATGCCAATCTTCTCAGCCAGTATCCTGGCCAAATGGCTGATTTTTAAAAGTTGGATTGTTTCCACTCTACTTTTATTTTCTTTCTCTTACCTAGTTTTTCTAGGTTTTGTCCCCAGGTTCTATTTGTACTCTTGTTGTATCTGCTAGCAACCTAAAGTTTCACATCACGTTTGCATGGTCTTTCTGCCCTCAATTTGTCTCTTCTATCTGTTTTCTTTTTCAATCATTTCTATGAAAGATATAGACTATAGATCATGAAGAAAATGATATTTTAATCTTACATTTCACTCAGCATTGTGCTAAGCATCCCAGCTTTCCAGTTACATGACAGAGAGGATTAGTTACTGAGAGATACAGGTATAGAGCTAACTACCTCGAAGAACATAGACAAGGTACAGAGCTGTCCAATTCCATACCTGTAAAGAGAATAGTTGAACTCTAACTGTACCTAGTTTTTTCTTGCTGAGTCAGAGTGAAACGGAAGAAAAGGCCATCCATTCAGTTTGGACCAAAATGGGCATCCTGGGGTGGGTGAGTGTGAAAGATCTACTTATACATAACACAGAGGAAGTAAATAGTATAAGAATCTAAATCATAATCAATAGTAAACCAAGAGCAGATGTAGGAATACAATGGAGAGTGTCCTATTTAAGGATGAAACGGAGCAGTTAAGAAGAAAGTCCTAACCACTGTGGAGTTCAGAATTCTACAGAGTCGATATTTGCTGTCCTAGGACTGAAGTCAACCCAAGAAATGTTTAAATAATAAAGAAAAACTTGTTTTTGGCTTTTTAGGATGCAGGCATAACTACAGAGGGCAAATCTTAACCAAATGCCAAGATCCAGGAATAGTCACCCATAAGACCAAGAGAGAAAACAGACAAAAGAAAAGAATTAGAGAAGTGAGAGAGGGTAGGTAATGTAAAGAAGATAAAGAAGAGAAGCAGAGTCTGGTTTCATAAAACCAGGGTTACACAGGGTACCCATGACCATACTCCTCTATCTCTACTACCTGGCATATGCAGTGCCCTCAAGCTACACTAAGCTAAGCAAATCTCTCCAGAGCTGGTCTGTCTTGTTGCCGTGATTTTGCATATGCACTTTTCCTTCTGTTTGACATGTTCCTGGCTGGTCCATGTATCAGATCGCTTTTTGTTACTATAACAAAACACCTGAGTCCAGGTAACTTGTAAAGAGATTTATTTGATTCAAGTTTTGGGGGCTGAAAGAAAACAGTATGATGGTGGCTCTGTGAGAGTCCCTTGGCCACATCATCTCATGATGGATGACATCACAATGGTGGAAGCATGTGCGAAAGGAAGAGATCACATCACCAGACAGGGAGCAAAAGAAGCCAGTGCAACCAGTCTTATTCTTCCAAAACAAACTTCTTATGAGAGTTAACTCACAAGAACTACTTTAATCCCTTCCAAGGGCAATGCCCTCTGTGAAATAAGGGCCTACTATTACCCCCCACTTCTTGAAGGTCTCCCCACCTCTTAACATCTGCACACTAAGAACCAAGATCTCAACACACGCGCTATTGGGGACACACTCACACAACATCCAAATCATAACAGCTCCCTTGAAAAACTGCCAAACATGTCCCAAAGGTTGGCTTTTAGATGATCTCATTGATATATCTCTCCTTGATGTCTTACTAACCAATCCATTTGAGCATCTTTATGTATTCAGCACTGTTGTAACTTAACCACACTTCATCTTATGATGCAGGTGTTACTGTGAATCCTATTTTGCAGATGAGGAATCTGAGACATATAATTAACATACACTTCTCTAGGAAGATTCAGGATTCAAATCTGGGTAGTTGGCCCTAGAGTCTGTATTCTTAACTATTACACTATGTACCTCTAAAGGTGGGGTTAAACTTCCCTCTCTGATATCATCTCTGTGCCTTGCACATCTTACTATAATATCACCAATGATATCAGTAGTAACCAGCAATGGTGATACTATAATATAGTATCAACAGTGGTAACCATTTGTTTATTTGATTTTCTTACCCACTAAAGATTCTGGACAGCAGAGTCAACAACTCCAACACTTAGGTATGGCTAGGTTTACGTTTTGACTTGTTTTCCTACAAATCATACACTTAAGATCAAGGATTTCTGGTGTTATGAATGATCAAACTCCATGGAGTCTTTTTAACTCAAGTAAGCACCTCCAAAGGAGGGCTTGGCTAGTATCTTGGGCTATTTCCTTTGTCTTTAGTGCGGGAATAATAGGTGGGTGTAGGTAACATTAATCATCAGTGGGCAGCCTTATTGCTACACAGGAATATCTATGCCATAGCAGAATTGAGTGAGTTTGTTACTCTTCTGTTTGTTTTCTACTTTTGATATCACTGTTTCTACAGTCAAGCATTGCTTATCCTAGAGGGCTAGATAGACTTAACTTCTTTCACTTCTGTCTCATTCCTCTACTGAGGACTTTGCGTCATCCACTTTCTACCTACAGTACAGGAGACTTATCATCTTATTACACCTTAACTAATGATGTTGATAATCTTTTCATATACTAATAATCCTTTCATGCCCTCCTTTTTTTCAGCTGTACAGTCACAATCTT